CCTCCCGCCGGGCCGCCGCCGCCGCCGCCGCCGCCCCAGGCTCGGCGCTGCTGCCCGCTCGTCCGTTGCTGTCGCTCGGGCTGCTGCAGCTGATCCTGGGCTGCTGCATGGTGGCGCTGAGCTTCGGGGCGCTGTCGCTGAGCAGCTCCCCCCAGGTGAAGAACTCGTGTCCGTTCTGGGCCGGCTCCTCGGTGAGTGCCGCGCGCGCCCCGCTCGCCTGGACACGGCCCTTCGGGGGAGCAGGGGCCTCTGGCGGTCTCCTCCACGGCCCCTGCATTGCGCCCCCCTCCCCCCACCCCAGGGCCGAGGTTGAGGAGCACAGCCCCTAAAGCCAATTGAAGTTTTTGGAGGCGTTGAGGCTGGGCGGGGGAGAAAGGCTGAGAGAGAGTAGTATTTAGGGGTGAATTGGGTTGCATCTGGACAGTGTCTTCCTTGCAGGCTAAAGGATTTTGTTGTTCCTGTCAAGGTAATAGAATAAAATAGATTTCCAGCTCTGGGAGATTGGAAGAATGGGGGTAGGAAAGTAGGAGAAAAATGATTCAACTTCGGGCCGTTGAGTATTTACTTCTCTGAAAACGTCGGCGCGGGGAGGGTGAGCATTTGATCTGTTCTGTCCACTGAGGTAGCCACAGTGCCTGGCACATAGTAGGTGTATTTGTGGGGTGATTGAAGTGGCAACTGGACTGGGGCACGCCATTTATTTTATTCCACTTTAAGGCACACGGAAATGTGAAATGTACCGGGTAGGATGGCTCCACTCTATCTGGGGACAAGTTCAGGAGATAATGACAGGGTGTGTGCAAACCGCGCCTGTACCTGGTCATTAAAGGAAGGCCCTAAACTCCCACTTGATTTTTGGAGCCAGGCAGGCTGCTGTGCAGAATTTCATTCTCAAGAACCCAAAGTTTCATTACGTATCAGCTCTCCAGAGCCTCAGGAGCAGGGGGCAGCTAATCTGAGATGTCTGCCCCCTGCAGCGACCTGGCCCTGCTTCCTCCAATGGGGAAGGTTGCTCTGGGGCACAAGGTGCCCAGCTTCTGGGGAAGGCTGCCTCCTAAATGTCCTAAATGCCTCCTAAAATGTCCTAGCATCTAAGGCATCCAACCTCTTGAGCTTTACTGGGGTCTGAGAGACTTGGAAATAGGTCTTTGTGGAATGATTGTGTAAGATGGGTATTTGAGAGTAAAGGACCTTTTTATGAAGTAACTAAATCTGAAAGTTTAAGTAAGATCCGTAATGAATGTATGGGCCAGTAAACATAAAATTGTCCTTTTGCAGGTCCATGCATACCCAGATTCAAGACCAAATTTTAATCATATAGGGAGAACTAATTGAACTCAAAGTAATCGTTTGAATAAGAACATCAAGAACATTAAGTACTGTGAGCCCGGCCTGACATTTATACTTAAACTGATGCCAGTTTGCTCTCCTTTTGAAATACTTTGACGCTGGATGGTCTGACTGGAACAGCCGGTGCTGGGGAGTTCACGCTCTGTTCATTGTGTTTGAGGAATCCCACCCTCCTGGCCCTGCCACTGGGCTCTCGGCAGGGATTAGATTCATTATGCTCCCTAGTCCACTCCTCAGACTAAATTCAGCCAAATGGTGGATGCATTTCATTTATCTAAATACCATGGGCCAGAAGTGAATCTTGCATACATTTGTAGGGATTTCCCCTTTATAAAATCACAATCTCTTGTCCTCTCAAAGAGAGCTCGTTTAGGATGATTTGAATCTATTTTTTTTCTCTTCTGAAATCAAAACCCCAAATCAGTGTACTACTGTGAATTATTTCAGAGGTGAATACACTTTAATGTCAGTCAAGCCACAGTTGGATTTGATGAAGTATATATAGCTAAAAAAAAAAAAGAGCCATCAGCCAGAAGATGATGGCTGTTCCTGGACCTGCTGGCTGGGCGTATCCTTGTTTTCTAGGACCCAGCAAAACAGAGCAGGGAAAGAATCAGTGACTTGGAACTAAATTCTCTTCTGTCGGGTTGTTTTCCACACCCCACCCCTCAGCTCTATATATGAACCTGCAATTGTTCATTATGCTTATTTTTTTGTGGCCCATTTCTGAGGTCGACCACAGAATTTACAAAGTGACTGTAGAACCAACAGAAACTGCGTGTCCAGAATGACTGGGTAGTATTTGAGGATGACATTAGGCACCATGACCGTCGTGTTTTAGGAAAAAAGTTTCACCAGTAGCATATGCCTTTTGAATTTATGTACACGGGAGAGGCTTTTTTTTTTTGTTTTATGGGATATTTTGAATTTACTCAAACGGTGTTCAGTGAACCCTCCTATACCTCTCCCCAAGCTCCAATAATTGTTTCATCTCTGCCTCATCCCAGCTTTGCTGCTGGCTCTGTGTGTTCTGATAGTATCAGAAGGATGAGTGTTTTAAGCAGGGTAGGAATGAGTCCATCATGCTCCGTAGGCCATTTGTCAGGTCAACTTCCCACATTATTTTGAAGCAGATCTCAGACATCACACCATTTCATCTGTAAAGAGTTCAATATGTGTGCCATTTTTAAAAGAAAATCTAAACAAAGAAAAAATAAACAGAATAGAGAGACAACATAGAAGTGACCAGGCAGGTCTTAAGAAACCACCCCCCTCCACTTTTCACATGTTATTATGAAAATTTTAAATCTCAGCAAATGTAGAAAGAATAGTATAATGAACCCCTTTTTACCCATCATCCAGCTTCAGTAGTTAATCAACACATGGCCACTGCTCACCCACACCCACTCCCCCTACTGGATAATTTTAAGGCAACTCCCTGGTATCATAATTTCAGCCATGAAATATTTCAGTATGGATTTCTAAAAGAAAGCAGCTTAATAGACAAAGGAAGGGCTTAAGAGCACATTGTAATGTACTAATATAAAGATAGCTAAACTAAGGTTTTTATGAAAAAAACTTAAAAATTATGACTTGAGGATGGCAGGTTTTTTTTTTTTTAAGATTTTATTTATTTATTTGAGAGAGAGAATGAGAGATAGAGAGCACGAGAGGGAAGAGGGTCAGAGGGAGAAGCAGACTCCCTGCTGAGCAGGGAGCCCAATGTGGGACTTGATCCCGGGACTCCAGGATCATGACCTGAGCCGAAGGCAGTCGCTTAACCAACTGAGCCACCCAGGCGCCCAGCAGGGTTTTTTTTAAATAACAGCTTTATTGAGATATAATTCACATTCCATACAATTCACCTATTTAAGGCATGCAATTCAATGATTTTTGGTGAATTCATGGAGATGTGCAACCATTGCTACAAACAATTTTAGAAAATTGTCATCACCCCAAAAAGAAACCCTGTACTCATTAGCAGTCACCCTCCATTTTCCCCTTGACCCTTTTATCCCTAGGCAACCACTGATGAATCTACTTTCTGGGTCTATGGATTATTCTGGACATTTCATATAGATGGAATCATCCAATAGTGGTCATTTGTGACTGGCTCCTTTCACTTAGCATAATGTTTTCAAGGTTCACTCAGATTATGGCGTGTGATTATGGTATACTTCATTCCTTCATTGCTGAATGAGATTCCACCATATGGACATACGATGTTTTATTTATCCCTCAGAAGTTTCATTGGCATATGAAATTAGGTAGTTGAGCCGTAGTGCCCGTTTGTCTAAGGTTACTTTGGACTCACGTAAGAACACAGTGGTAGGATATCTTCATCTCCCAAGCTCTGAATGACCATGATGTGCCTTAGTCTGCTCTAGCAATTAAATTGGCAAATCTTCTTTCAGCTTCAGTAAAAAATTTGCTTTTATATTTGATACAAAATTAAATTCAAGGGACAGATATATTCATTAAAAAGACTTTTATTAACACAGTTTAAAAATCAAGAACGTTTTTCCATATATACCTCTGTAAGTGCTGTCACATTGAGCCTGAGATTTGGGACCTTCCTTCACTTGTCTGGACTTTGAAGGTATTTTATCTATTTTACTATGTATTTAAGAATTAACAAGTCCTATAAAGAGTATTTTTCCATACCTTACATTCATACTGTCAGCAATTTGAAGGGAGTGTTTTTAACGTACTCATTGTTTTTGAGCATTCTGTGATCATTTATTTTCTTTCTGTTATTGGTTAATGGCTCAGTCTACTATTATTCCTGAAGGGCATGAAGCTAAGAGATGAGCCACTTTTAAAAGCATCCTGAAGTTTGACCCCAGGTGGGTGGCAGGAGGAGAATCTCCAAGACCATGTTCAGGTCATGCTGTCCTGGTTTTTTATTTGGGGGCACATTTAGTTACTACCACACTGCACTGGATTAATGGAAGAGTAGAGGATTGCATTGGTTTGTGTCTCCTCCTTCAAAAAACAAAATTCCTTATTCTGATGACATATACTTGGAAGATATTTCAGGCAAATGGTAGAGAATTGGTTTTTATTAATTTTTGTTCTTCTCTGGGAGCCTTAACATCCTTAATATTATCTGCATACATCTCTGCTTTGAGTCACTGACCTAAACTCATGGTCCCCCCTCCCTTGAGTCTGTAATTCTTTGTCAAGATTCCAGTTCCTTATAAAGAGACAGACATTGGTGAACCTTAAGGTAAACCTTTTTTTAAAAAATTGCAGTGATGAAATATAAAAAAGAATGAATGGTTCAAAGGAGAAACTAACTAAAAAATTCTGAAGTCTCTACCAGTTAAACAACAGTAAGTACATTTTTTCTATCATGATCACCAAATAGTACTTTAATATTTATGGGCTATTTTAAATATAATTTTGTGATGATTTTATATTGATTTTCCTTGGTCCTTTATTTTACATGGCAGCAAAGTGACATTGATAAATTCTTGAGTAAGTCATTGAGCCTCTCAGCCTCATTTACCCATCTGTAAAATGGGTGCAATGATTCTTGCCTCTGACTTTGTGAGGGTGTAATTAGAGAACATATAGGAGAACTTGCAGCTGGGCCCTAGTACCAGGCCTGGCATATAGTAGAACTTCTATCAGTGTTTTTTAAACATCAAGGCAATATTTAATCCAAGTATGAAAAGGCCATTTTTTTCTGGGACGTTCTAATAACCATCATGTGTACATTAGAAATATCCAGGTGCCCACTTCCTCGGTCTTTTAATGAATCATGCTAGACAGATAGGGAAGCATAATACACACCAACACACATGCACACACACATTTTTTTAAATTGCCACTGTAAAATCTATAAGGCAAGATAGATTGTTGAGAAGTTTGACTATTGTGTGCTTAATTCATAAGGTAAACATGGTACATATACAGCTTGGCTCTTTTTATCTCTATGTTCAGATATAGCAACTTTTGGCAAACAATCCAGAACATTTTTGCCCTAATGCATGTTCATGGATAGCAAAGGAAAAATAGGGCAGTAAAATAGTAAGCTTTTGATCTTAATAATTTGATTTTTAAGTTGGGAAATTAAGGCACATTAACCATGTATGGTGGGTAACAATGATTCTTGCGTGAAGTATCTTGGAATCCTTCTTTGCAATATCTTTGAAAAAAGAAAGGTCTCTGCTTTTTCCTATAAGCTGCAAGGAATGGGTTACAAGTGAGTGAAACCAAAATTATAATAAATCTCATTATAATAATATAGAGATAACTTAGTGTTAGAAAATAGGTGCTCTCCTGTTCATTCAGGGCAAGTTTCATCTTGCACTGGGTGGAAAGAATGCTGATGAAGTTGCTTTTTGCTGTTGGTATACTCTTTTAGGAAGCACAAGAGTGAAAAATATATTTAGGCTGAAGTAGTCATCCCAGCAGGTTCATCCGCTATTTCTGATTTCATGCATTCAGTTATTCACCGTCCATTCATTCATTTGTTGACTCTGGCCATAACTAACTGAGTGACTCTAGGAGCCTCGAATACTCATAGATCCAGTGGTAATCCAGTGGGATTACCAGTGAGTGTAAAATACAATCAAACAAGTAATAGCATTGTGGTGTAATGGATACTATGGAGAGCCAGTGTAAAGGGACCTTCTTGTCCCTTCTGATGGAGCTCCAGCTACTGTTGCCACCGAGGGAGATGGAGGTATTGAATGCTCTGCCTCCTTCTCCCCTTTCTCTGACCCTTCTTGCCATTTATGAATTCCCCCCAAGCCCCAGATGAAATGTGAGCATCTATTTCTTAAGTCATGAGCTCTTAAAAATTCATCCCCAGCTACAGCTCTTCTGTTCCACATTCCAGAGGATTCTAACTCTTCAGTCTCTGCCTCACCTCTCATAGGGTTCCATAAATGTTGTAGGGTTTAATTGGGCTTGAGGAATGGAGAAATTGAGTAGAAGTAGGTATATGCCTTTGTTGCCAGGTTTAGAACTGAGGCGGATGTAACTACAACTCCCACCTGCAACTGGAATCTAATTTCTTAAAGCATCCCTGTAAAGAAAGGTGATTTACAAAAATCCTGTTGGGATTTAATGTGAGTGTGTGCTGAGTCTATAAAACAACTCAAATGGAAATTTATTTATTACCTTTAAATATTTTGCTTTACAATCCATGAACGTGGTATATGTTGATTTGAGTCTTCATTTAATACTGCTTAATAAGGTTTATATTTTAATAAGGTTAATAAGATTTATATTTCTTCCTACTGGGTCTTAAGTATCTTTAAGGTCATATGTATTTTGAGATTAGTGATATTTATTATTTGTCAAATACATTTTGTACATATTTTTTAAATTATGGTTTAAGTTCATTGTTCATATATGCAAAATCTCCTCTCAAAAAACAATGAAGATAGCTTAGTCCCTTTATCCCAGAGACCCTTGATTTTAAATGACAACTATATCTGTCATGACCTACTAAATATATGAATATATATATA